GCTACAATACGTTCCAGAACCGCAACAAGCTGGCCCGCTGGTACGAGGCGGTTCGCGAGGAGCTGGGCCCGCACTACAAGGAGGTGCTCGGGGAGTTCGAGAGCAAGCTGAAGGGCAGCGGCAGTGGGCAGCAGCAGGGCGTGGCCCAGGCGGTGAAGCAATAGCCGAGGGACCCGTCCACCCTCGGACCGTCCACAAATCTTGTTTAGCAACCTAAGGCAATCGACTATTTAACCCCCTGTTCGTTTTTTTTTTTTTTTTTTTGTGATTTTGTGATTGTACTTACTTTTTAAGTTTCAAACCTTCCAATCGCTCTTTTTAATCTTTAAGCTTTAATCTTTAACCTTTTAACCCTACCATTTGTATCTAGTATTGCTCCCCCGTTTTTCTATTATATAGCTACGAGAAAAAAAAAAAACCAATATATAATATTAGAGCTTAGTTGTTAATTATGTATCTTAAATATACGTATATAAAGTACGCTTATGATTGTTAAGCCGGCGCCTTTTCTTTTTTTGCCATCGAATACCGAGTCACTCGCACACTCTCACTTTTGTCTATACATTTACATTTACATTTACATTTACGCTTTATTCGACTCGATTAACATTTGTGGGGGATTCGCTCTGGGAGCGGTGCTCGCGGGTGCAGGCTTCTAGGGATCTGCACAACGACGTCTACATATTATATGAGGTGTACAAAATAGGATCTGCCTTGTCATATCACAATTATAAAATTTGTATACACAGATTGAGGAATGCTTGGACTGTGTCTGCTCACTTCATGGTCGGATCTGGGAAAGCATCGCGTGGCGGCTTGAAGCTCAGCATCATGATGTGTCGCGCATACGACTTGGTGGCCCGGAAAAGGGAATCGGTGCCATGGAGGCGATCCAGCACTCCGAGCACCCCAAAACAGTTGTTGAATCTGTGAAATAATTTTAAATCAGTCCCACATACACACAACGGTTTACGGGGGCAGGGGCATTTTCACTTTTCAAAGGCATTCTTAGGTAGTTTTGAAAAAGTGAAAAACCCACAGCGGATTCTTAATGTGTATTACTTCAAATGGTGAAAGTCATGCGCCTCGGGACTGGGAAAGAACGGCAAGTGGTAACCGGAATGGGCATTGAGCGTTGAGAGGATCGCTAGGGCGAACCACAGCCACGCGGTGGCCACATGGCTGCCCATGAGAAAGACGCCCAGGAAGGGCGGCAACAGGTTGCTGAAGATGTGCTCGATGGGATGGCAATAGATGGCCGTCACCGAGATGGGGGCCGTCCACTCGTGATGCTGCTTGTGGATGTACTTGTAGATGTGCTTGTGGTGCAGTAGACGGTGCGAGTAGTAGAATCCCAGTTCCTCCATCAGGATGCACACGGTCAGCTCGAAACAGACCCAGTGGAATGTGGGCAGGTCGCGGATGTCGCTCAGTCCGCGGATCTCCATTAGGCGGTAGCTGGCGTAGGCCAAAGGTATGCCCACGAAGATCTGGTTGCAGACCACGCACCAAATCACCTGAAATGCGGCACATACACAGATGGGCGGGGTCGTTCAGCCATTGGGGTCAATTAAGTCTGGGCTTTTAATCAATTTCGAACCTTCAACAGACGACGGACTTCCACGGGCTCATTGGTGCCCGGCTGGATCTTGTACTTGCGCAGACAGGCGGGCCGATTGGTCAGATCCATGAAGGTGTACAGTGTGCCCACGGTCCAGTAGACGATCATCGTGAAAATGGTGGTGCCAAATACCCACAGCACCATGGGATCGTCACCTAAAAAATTGCATTTGTAAGTTAAAATGTTCATAACATATGCATACAAAATGGTTATGGCAAATGGAAGGAGAAATATTTTTAAATTACTTGTTAAAATTGGGAAACAATGTACATATATAGGTTTCTTATGTTAACATAAGTATTTCTACACATTTAAATTAATGATGACAAAGAGAAATAAAACAGCCTAAGATAAAGCTTATAAATGCAATAAACGTAAAGCTTGGTAAATAAACCCATAAAGATAAAGACCCTATATGAAAAGCATTAAGGCAGTTAAGAGTGTGAATTGTAAATTGCAAAGGGTATACGGAAAATACAATTAAACAGACCTATGATAAATCCCGTAAATATTATATAGAAGCCTGTTATTTCAACAGCTTCCGACTTTGAGCTTAGGCAATAGCAGCTAACCGAAGTTCATTGCGATGAGCCTATTGTGCAATGCGTAAATATTTACTCTGGCTAAATAAAGTTAAGTTAAGTTAAAAAATAGGTTTCCCAGATGGGTGCTTTATATGATGTAGAATTCAAATTCGAATGAGTAACGCGGCGTAATTGGCATCACTTCTGGCTGCGTTTGTATCTGTATCTGTATCTGTATCTTTATCTCTTTTATCTGTATCTTTGTGTCGGTGCGGTGGAATTAGTAAACAAAACAGTTGATGTTGACATTTTGTTGTCGCTTCTGGCTGAGAATTGCAATTCGCACAATAACACAAAGGCACAGAGAGAGGGGCAAAGTTTACCTGTGCCTTTCTCCATTCTTTTTCCCCTTTTTCTTTTTTATTTTTTGATTTTGCATTTATGTACTTACCGAACGAGTCGATGAATTTGTCCCACTGCGACTGCCAGAAATCCCCGGAGGCGCCCCAAAAGCTCTGCAGATGCCTGGCATAGATATAAGAAACCTCGATGAATTTATCCTCCATGGCTCGCACTCTCTATATATGTTCTTATTCTTGTAGAATTGGCTTTCTCCCGATTCTTCGCTCTCCCCCTAAAAGCTTTCTACGCGCTCTTCGTCTTCGCTGCTGAGCGTCGCAAACGCAAATGGCATTTGCGATCGCCGGATCGCGTGGAAAAGTGCAATTCTCGAAATCAAAGCTCGGCTCAATTCCAGGCTCTCACCCAAAAAAGAGAGAGCAAGAGAGAGAGAGAGAGAGTGGAGAAGAAAGTCTAGCGTCGGAAACCGAAGCTTGGAACACCCTTTCAGGTTCAAAAACGTATGCACTATATCTTACTACATTTTTATCATATTTGTTATAATTACAACATTTAAAATAAATTATACTAGTATAAACCATAAATACAGCTTTCTTTGTTTGACCAAAATATCAATGCGTATAAAAAAATCTTTTATAATTTTTTTTACCACATTTAAAGAAATTTAAAGCAAATATAAATTTTAGGAATATTTAAATGAGTTCTGGAGCAACTTTAATTGATATACGATAAATACCGTTTAAATATTAAAATATATATATTTGTAAACGATTTTACTAAAAGCAGCTATATTTATATTTTAGGTTTAAGACATATCAATAACAACCTATAAATATATAGTTTCAAAGCCCAAGGTTCACATGTAAACAAAACAGACGGAACGATAGTAAAATATAAGCTAATGCAACTTTTATATGAAAAAGCCCATTCTGGGGTCACAAAGGCTATCGAATTGGAATATAACAAATGATTTTTATGTTTACAAATGCAGATTCACTGCATAAAGTTAATTGCATTATCAAAAGGGTTTTATATTTTGTGCATTAGCTAACAAAAACACCTCATCGGTATCCAAAGCATCACTTTTCGGTATCCGAAAGATCACTATTCGGTATCCGAAAGATCATATTTCGTAACTTGGATGTTTCGAATCATTACCAGGTGAGCACGTTGCGGAACAGGATAAAAGCGGCCAGGGCGCAGGTGATGATGAAGATGACGCTGTGCAGCGAGGACAGCCAGACGTCGGCGGTGCGGGTGTCGTCCCAATTCTGCAGAGGCGAGCAGGAGGATGGGTTTTGATCCTTGGCATTCTGCAGGGAAGGATAAGACGGGTTGGTCAGCCGTTGGAGGGCAGGACGAAATGGGCTTGGCTTACATCATTGAGGTTCAGATAGACCGGCGGCAGTCCCACCTTCTCTTTGAGGATTCCACCGCCCAACGAAGAGGAGGAGGAGGAGGAGCTGTTTCCAGCATTCCCGGGCTGCACGGTAACCGAAATTGGCGAGGAGGCGGACGAAGAGGACGAGGCGGAGGAGCCCGAATTATTTGGCGGTCTTCCGTGCACCGGATTCGACATGTTCACGGCTTTTCCTCCGTTTTCCTTAGTTTCTCCAATTTCTCCTCAGTTTTCTTTACAACTTTCCCAGTTGTTGCTCTCTCGCTCGTTGTAGATTTCCTTTTTGTTGTGGCTTTTTCGTCGTCCTTGACATTTGACGCACTTCGATTTTTCTAATAACCCTGTGATTTTATTCAGCCGGTTTAGTTTTGAATTAAATAATTAAGTAATAAATACACCGAATAATTAATCCGCATTTATTGTTAACTTTGTGACATGAACAGTTAAAATCAAACGCTTATTTTTGAATCTCGGCTTTTGGAAAAGCGCTCTCGCCCTCTCTTTCTCTCTCACTCACACACATAAGGCGCTTCCAGTGTGACCATGGATCGGTAACTGTTAAAATCGCTGGAACGCTTTGGAATGAAACTAAATACAGTGCCCGCTCGAAATTGAGACATGAAATGCAATTTGATTAACAGTGCACCATCGATTTAGTAAACAAAAAAGAAAATAAACGGACTTTCATTATACAATTGAAAAAAAAACCATATATATCCCTGTGGTTGGCGATAGTTGACCCCGTTTGGCAATTAGCGATAGTCGCTTGCCCAACACTGCCACCTCTAATATTAGTGTTGGGAAACCCACAGATGTTACAACATCTGTACAACTTGTGAGTACCTCTTTACAGTCTAGGTACGAATACAATGTTATTTTTGTAACGCAATAAATAAAAGATAAATCTCTGTATATAAACATGTACTTGATAGAAAATATAAATAAATTGAATAGGAACTTTATCGGTTTAATTTTTTTTTATAATAATTATTATACACTGTTAAAAATGTACCGTTCCGTGTTAGTCAGGTACAACAGAAGCGCACACGCTTTCCAACACTTGCCGCTTGCCACCAGTGTGTAAACAATAAAAAAGAGGGGGGTGGAGAGCGTATCAGAAGACACGGATAAAGAAGAAGAGAAACAAAAAAAATATCAAAGGGAAGGATGTTGGTGTATGCATGTGAGAGCAAGTGCAGTAGATAGCTGTAAATTCGAGATGACGATGACACAAAAAACCCAAATTGCGCTGTAATTCGAAACGAAATTGCGACCGAAAACGAAGTTCTCGTTTCTACGCTTGTGATTTGCAGCCCCCAGCCCAGCAGCATTGGTCCGCAATGGAGGAGTCGTCCGCTTCGCCCAATCCAGCTGCAGTTGCGTCACGTGGCCGCGGACGTGGGCGGCCGCCGAAAATAGCGCCTCCCGCCGATGGACCCGTCACCGCCCCCATACCCAATACGCCCGCCCCCATCCCCAATCCCAGCCCAAAGGATGCGTCGTCGTCACCCACTCCGCCGGAGGATCCAGATGGCGGGCCGAACGAGTGTCGCCGCAGTTCGCGCAAGAAGATCATCAAGTTCGATGTGCGGGATTTGCTGAATAAGAATCGAAAGGCGCACAAGATCCAGATCGAGGCACGCATCGATTCCAATCCAAGTCCCAGTTCGTCGTCGTCCACAGCGACGTCGACATCGACCTCCACACCCAATCGCTTGTTCTCCATGTTCGAGAGCAGCCATCAGTCGTTAGCGAAGCCGCCCCCGCCACCGCCGCCATCCGCCCTGGAGATCTTCGCCAAACCGAGACCCACCCAGAGCCTGATTGTGGCCCAGGTGAGCAGCGAGCCGTTGGCTTCCGTCCAGACGCTGGCCAACCTGCCCGTGGTGGTGGCCGCCCGCAAGCGGGGTCGTCCGCGGAAGAGCCAACCCTCGTTGATACCGGAGGCTCCGGCGGCTCCGGCCAGTTTGGTGCCGCCCAGCTGCTCCGACTCCGATACCAACTCCACCAGCACGAGCAGCAACTCCACCGGCAGCAGTGGCGACAGCGGCGGCGAGCCAGCTGCCCTTGTCAAACGGAAGCCCAAGTCCAAGCTGCGCGTCTCCCTCAAACGCTTGAATTTGGCCCGCCGGCAGGAGTCCTCCGATTCCGGCGACATGGCCATGGGCAACTCGCCGCCTTCGCCGTCGTCTTCGTCGCCGGAGGTGGAGGTGATGGTGGAGCCGCCTGCCCTGCAGGATGACAATGCCCTGGACGAGCAGCCCGACAACGAACAGGAGGTGTCGCGCATAGTGGTGGCCGCGGATAACTCCGATTCCGACTCGCAGATCATATTCATTGAGATCGAAACGGAGAGTCCCAAGGCAGAGGAGCCCCAAGAAGTGGCCAACAAGCTGGGTCAAACGTCCGATGCCGAGCAAGATCTTGACGAGATTATGGTGGAGGTGTTGAGCGGACCGCCCAGTCTGTGGTCCGCCGATGACGAGGCCGAGGAGGAGGAGGATGCGGCAGCAGCAGCGGCAGAAGCAGCATCAGCAGCAGCAGCAGCATTAGCAGTGAAAGACAGAGCCACCCCGCCAAGCGGAGAACCGGAGGCCGAGTCCTCGTCACCAGCACCACGACGCAGCAGGAGATCCGCGCAGCCACGCGGCAGCAGTCGACAGGGTAAGACCCTCGAGGAGACCTTCGCCGAGATAGCCGCCGAGAGCAGCAAGCAGATCCTGGACGCCGAGGAGTCCCAGGACCAGGAGGAGGAGCAGCACATGCTGATCGATCTCATCGAGGACAGTCAGAGCCAGCCGACGGAGGAGGCTCCCAGTCCCAAGATCACGCCCATCGAAAACGTGGAGTTGCCGGAGGTAGAAGTGGAGATTAAATCGGTGCCGGAGACGGAGGTTATCACTGCCAAGAAGGAGTCCATCGCAGAGGCCAAGCCAGTTGCTCCACAGCCCGAAAATGTTATTTCGGAATCTGAAATGAACTCGAATGTAGCCAATCCAGAGCCAAAGGAGAAACCTAAAGCGATACCAGGATTGGAATTGATAGCCAATGATGTTCCACAATCAGAAACGGTCACCAAAGGTGTTCCAACATCAGAATTGGTCACCAAAGATGATCCAAAGCCAGCAGAGATTACGAAAACCATGAGAGAGACCACCATAGATGTTCAGACCGTAAAGAAAGTGGTTAAAACATTAGTTTCAGAAACTAAACCATCAACAGAAGTGATTTTGCCGGAGAAGAAACCGTTTAAAGAAGCCGTTCAAGAGTCGGAGACAAAGGATGAACCTTATCCAGAGCTGGCAAAGAACGATCTGCCCGAATCCAAACCAGTGGACGCCATTCCTCAGGCCAAACGGATTCCGCCTTCAGAAGCCGAAGCTCAGGGGAATCAGATAACATTTTCAGAACCAGACACCCGAGCCAAGGAAATTGGAGTCGAGCAGAATGGTGCTCAGGCGGCACTGCCCACAGTGGAGAAATCGGTGGAGATGGAGAGGACTGAGTCTCCGACTGAAATTACTGCACTTAAGACTGAGTCAGCCAGCGAGAAGGAGCAGGCAGCCGTCGTTCCAGCTGAATCGATGGCCACGAATGAAGATCCGGAAGTGTCAAAATCCCTGCCAGAAATTAAGGAAAAGAAAGAGGAGAAACCGGCTGCTGTGATCGAGAAGAAGGAGCGTAAGAAGTCCCTCACAGAGGTGGCTTCTAAGCAGGAAAAAGAAGCTGAGAAATCTCCATCCATGGATAGGAAGGATGATGCTTCGGTTACGAAGCGTGATGAAGTCGACATTTCTTCAGTTTCGCATAAAAAAGATGAGGAATTGCAGAAATCCCCTCCAGAAAATACGACTCTAATGCAAAAAGAGGCAGTAGAGTCATTAAAAGAAGTGGCCATGGAGAAGGAAATGGAAGTGGAAACGAAAGAAGTCACTGCCAAGAAAGAAAGTGAAAAGGAGACATCGCCAGCAGTAGAGAAGAAGGAACTGGATAAATCCTCAACCAACACGACAACTCAAAGGGAAAACGAAACTGCCACAAGCCCACCGGAAGTGGCTGCCTCGGAGAAGAAGGAGCCACTAAGATGCCCGCCAGAGATCTCGAAATCATGTCCACCAGATCACGCCACGCCCAATGAATCTGCAGCAGCTGAGGCGGCCAAAGAGGAGCAGCCTGGGAGGAAGCAAGCCAGCGAATATGCCACACCTTCTTCCGGCAAATCCAAGGAGAAATCCTCGCCAGCTTTCGTTGAGTGCGATGCCATGTTCAAGGCCATGGACAAGGCCAATGCCAAGATGCGTCTCGACGAGAAGAGCAAGAAGAAGCAGAAGAAAGTGCCGCCCAAGGTGGACTCACCCGTTCCCAATGCCGCCTCCTCCACGCCGACTCTTGGCCAGAAGTGCAAGTCATTGGCGAGCAAGCAAGGCACACGCCGTAACACCATCTATGAGGATTCACCCAAGCTGGAGCGGAACAGCTCACCCAGCTCCGATTCCACCCAGCAAAAGAAGTCATTGGCCAGTAAGACCGGGTCACGTCGAAACACCATCTATGAGGATTCACCCAAACTGGAGAGGAACAGCTCGCCCAGCTCCGATTCCACCCATGTACCCATGTCGACTGGCAAGCTAAAGCGATCGAAGCCCAAGAAGAAGCTGAATCCAAGGCGCAGCACAATCTGTGATGAAGCCAAAGATCTCCGGACCGGCATCAGTCCACCCACGGAGGAGCTGATGGCCGCCAGTTCGCCAGTTTCCTCCTCATCCGAATGCTCGGCGAAGCGAACGAAGCGAGGCTCCAAGTTGGATCTGCGTCGCAACACCATTTGCGAGGATCGTCAGGCCGAGACCTCCACGCCCGTGCCGCTCACCAAGCGCCGCTTCTCGATGCATCCGAAGGCGTCGGCCAATCCGCTGCACGACACCCTCCTGCGAACCTCGTCGGCCAAGAAGAGGGGTCGCAAGCAGGGCAAGGCATCGCTGAGCCGCCAGAATTCGCTGGACTCCAGTTCGAGTGCTTCGCAAGGAGCGCAGCAGCAGAAGAAGAAGGCACGCAAGTCGGCGGAATCCCTGCATGCGGCCCTCATGGAAACCGAGTCGTCCGAGTCCACCTCCTCGGGCAGCAAACAGCAGCAGCGACGCTGGGATGTGCACACCTCGCCGGAACCGCTGGACACCACCACAACCAATCCCCTGAGTGACATTGCCAAGTTCATCGAGGACGGTGTGAATCTGCTCAAGCGCGACTACAAGGTGGACGATGAGCAGCGGGAGGAGGGCAAGACACGGACGCCAGACACCGAGGAGGATGAGTTTGCGCAACGAGTGGCCAATATGGAGACACCGGCCACCACACCCTCACCCTCTCCCACGCAATCCAATCCCGAGGATTCCGTCTCCACCACAAATCTTTTGCAGGAGAGCGCTGGCGGAGGAGGAGGCGGCGGAGGAGGCGGCGGAGGAGGAGGAGGAGGAGTGCGTCGCTCGCATCGCATCAAACAGAAGCCGCAGGGACAGAGGGCCAGCCAGGGCAGAGGAGTGGCCAGCATGGCCCAGGCACCGATCAGCATGGACGAGCAGCTGGCCGAGTTGGCCAACATCGAGGCCATAAACGAGCAGTTCCTGCGCAGCGAGGGCTTAAACACTTTCCAGCCGCTGAGGGAGAACTACTACCGCTGCGCCAGGCAGGTGAGTGCAGTGTCCACCAGCCAAGGGTTTGATCATAAACCTGCCCTATAAAGTATATATATTCTTCATCACTGGGAGAGTCGATCTAGCCATGTCCGTCTGACAGTCGAGTGCCTTAGTTTTAAAGCTAACTGCATATAACTTTCCCAAAAGTTGTCTTTCTATTGCAGCTAGTATATAAGTTGGAACGAGCCGGATCGGTCGACTATATCATATAGGAACAATAGGAAAAAAACATGAACAAAATTATAACTTTGCTGTTTATTGATTTTTGTTTTTTGTAGTTCTTCGATATTTAGTAATGGTTAAAATGTTATAAAAATCGCAAGACTATAGAGCTATATGGTACGCTTCCATAGGAGCAATCGGAATATTAAGTCTTTATTAATTAATAAACTTATTTTTAAATTTTTGTTTGTAATTCTCTTGGACATAGGAATGTTTTAACCATCCAGAACAACGCTTTTAATGTTTTTTAAAATCGGAAAACGACAGCATATAGCTCTGCCATAGGAAGGATCGACTAATTTAAGTGAAAATCATCAATCGTAGCTATTTTTTTAAGGGGTACTCATATAATTCGAAATTTAGATGTTTAATTTTTGCCATAGCTGCAAGGGTATATAAGCTTCGGCTTCATTATTTAATCCATAATTTCCGTTCGGTGCCGCAGGTTAGCCAGGAGAACGCTGAGATGCAGTGCGACTGCTTCCTCACCGGGGATGAGGAGGCCCAGGGGCATCTGAGCTGCGGCGCCGGCTGCATCAACCGCATGCTGATGATCGAGTGCGGACCACTGTGCACCAATGGCCAGCGGTGCACGAACAAGCGCTTCCAGCAGCACCAGTGCTGGCCATGCCGCGTCTTTCGCACCGAGAAGAAGGGATGCGGCATTACGGCGGAGCTGCAGATGCCGCCCGGCGAGTTCATCATGGAGTATGTGGGCGAGGTGATCGACAGCGAGGAGTTCGAGCGGCGCCAGCATCTGTACTCGAAGGATCGCAACCGCCATTACTATTTCATGGCGCTGCGCGGCGAGGCCATCATCGATGCCACCTCCAAGGGCAACATATCGCGGTACATCAACCACAGCTGCGATCCCAATGCCGAGACACAGAAGTGGACGGTCAACGGTGAGCTGCGCATCGGCTTCTTCAGCGTAAAGCCCATTCAGCCGGGCGAGGAGATCACCTTTGACTATCAGTATCAGCGGTATGGCCGCGATGCCCAGCGCTGCTACTGCGAGGCGGCCAACTGCCGCGGCTGGATTGGCGGCGAACCGGACTCGGATGAGGGCGAACAGCTGGATGTGGACAGCGACAGTGAGGGTGAACTGCTGCTGGACGAGGAGGAACTCGAGCCGGAGGAGCAGGAGCCACGCAAGCTGGCAAAGGTCAAGGCCAAGTCCAAGCTGAAGGTCAAATTGCCGCTGGCCACGACCAATCGCAAGCGCAAGGAGCACCAGCAGCAGCAGCAGTCCAAGCCCAAGGATCGCGAATACAAGGCCGGTCGCTGGTTGAAACCCACTGCCGGTGCTGGTGGTGGTTCTGGTTCTGGTGGCTCTGGTGGCTCCGGTGCCTCGGGTGGATCTGCAGCGGGCGAGAAGGCGACGCGTAAGCCAAAGGTCAGCAAATTCCATGCCATGCTCGAGGATCCCGATGTGCTGGAGGAACTGTCGCTGCTCAGCCGCAGCGGGCTAAAGAATCAGCTGGACACCCTGCGCTTCTCGCGCTGCATGGTGCGTGCCAAGCTGCTGCAGACCCGCCTCCAACTGCTGGGCGTGTTGACGCGCGGCGAACTGCCCTGTCGCCGGCTCTTCCTCGACTACCATGGCCTGCGCCTGCTGCACGCCTGGATCAGCGAGAGCGGCAACGATCATCAGCTGCGCATGGCCCTCCTGGACACCCTCGAATCACTGCCCATACCCAATCGCACCATGCTCAACGACAGTCGCGTCTACCAGAGTGTCCAGCTGTGGAGCAGCAGTCTAGAGCAGCAACAGCAGCAGGAGCAACAGCAGTTGCACAAGCGGATGCTGGCCCTGTTGCAAAAGTGGCAGGCTCTGCCCGAGATCTTTCGCATCCCGAAGCGTGAGCGCATCGAGCAGATGAAGGAGCACGAACGGGAGGCGGACCGGCAGCAGAAGCACGTCCATGCGAGCACCGCTCTGGAGGATCAGCGCGAGCGGGAGAGCAGTGGCGGCGATCGATTCCGGCAGGATCGCTTCCGGCGCGACACCACCAGCAGCCGCATAAGCAAGCCCATCCGCATGAGTGGCAACAACACGATATGCACGATAACCACCCAGCCGAAGGGCAGCAATGGAGCCATGGACGGCATGGCCAGGAGCGACAGTCGCCGTCGGCCCGACATGGCCACCGCCGCGGAACCAAGACGCACGCTGTCCAAGGAGCTGCGACGCAGTCTGTTCGAGAGGAAGGTGAGTGGGGTAAATCGGGGCAAGAAACAGATTGTTATACCCTTGCACAGGCAAGTACCTGGATACTAATGCCTTATATATGTAGCTGGGTAACAAAAAGTGGTACTTTTCAACTTAGTCCTCTATCGTAATTAGGTACTGATTTTAATTTATATTAAACAATCACTGAGATAGGTAATTCCCTACTTAAATATTTATTTTCGTTTTCAAAGAGCCCAATACTACCTTTTTTATATATTCGTATTTAAAATGTAAGTAAATATGTTGTATATATATATTAATTTTTCTTTAAAATACAAAACTTCTACTTTGGGAGAACCAGCTTGTTCAAAAAACCAAATTTAAAAATGATTTGTCCCTTTTGTGTAACTTTTACCTTACCTAGATACTTAAGCAGTTGTGTACTTTGTACCTTAACTAGGTACATAATCTTGCAAGTACCTTTTTCCTTAACTATGTTCAAAAAACTAGTACTTTTTCCAACACTGTGCAATGCTCAGAAATTTGTATAGGCGTCATTTTCGACCCTATAATGAATAAATATTCTTGATCAAAAGAGTTGATATAAAATATCTTGCCGATCGTACGTCTATATCCTATAGCTGCCATAGGAGATCAAAATTGATTAATTTGCTTGTTTTTTTTTATTTTTTAATTTGATTATAAATGTTTTTGCCCTAAATTATGGTTTTATAATATTTATAACCTATCCCTTTAGTTTTCATTAAAATCGGTTGCCTATTTCCTATAGCTGCCATGCACACTGTTCTATGCCTATTATTCGCGCAGTGTATGATATGTGTTTACGTGTACACTGATCATGCTAAAATATTTTTTATCCCATGGCTGCCATAGGAAAATTTGATAAAATTGATTCTTTTTGCCTAACTAAACGATCCCCAAACTTTAAACTTGTCTGTAAACCTTTCGTTTTTCAATCAAAAGGTGGCCTTGGACGAGGCTGAGAAGCGTGTGTGCAGCGAGGACTGGCGGGAGCACGAGCTGCGCTGCGAGTTCTTCGGCGCCGACCTAAACACCGATCCCAAGCAGCTGCCCTTCTACCAGAACGCGGACACTGGCGAGTGGTTCAACAGCGAGGACATGCCCGTGCCCACGCCGCAGCGCACGGAGTTGCTGTCACAGGCGTTGCTCTCCCCGGAACTGGATGGCGGTGGGCAGGGCGGTGCTCCGCCGATCGTCGAGTACAAGCTGCCGGCGGGAGTGGATCCGTTGCCGCCAGCCTGGCACTGGCGATTGACGAGCGATGGGGATATCTACTATTACAATTTGCGCGAACGGATATCGCAGTGGGAGCCACCCAGTCCCGAGCAGCGCCTGCAAACGCTGGTGGAGGAGGATCCCACGCAGCAGCAGCCACTGCATGAGCTGCAGATCGATCCGGCGCTCCTCGCCACCGAACTCATCCAGGTCGATATGGACTATGTGGGCTCGCTCAGCTCCAAATCCCTGGCCCAGTATGTGGAGGCCAAGGTGAAGGAGCGTCGCGAACTGCGTCGCAATCGACTCGTCTCCATTCGTGTGATCAGTCCGCGTCGCGACGAGGATCGTCTGTACAATCAGCTGGAGTCGCGCAAGTACAAGGAGAACAAGGAGAAGATCCGTCGGCGCAAGGAGTTCTATCGCCGGCGCAGGATTGATGTGACCACGGCGGTGACGGCTGCCGCTTCCCAGCTTCCGAGTGCCTCTGGCAAGCCAGAGGATGCTCCTGCCAGCTCACTGCCCATCCAGGCCTATCTCTACTCCTCCGACGAGGATGCGGCGGATGCCCCAGCTACAGCTACTGCTCCTGCTCCTGCTCCTGCTCCTGCTCCTGCTGCTGCTGCTGCTGGAGATCAGTCCGCAGCAGATGGCAATGAGGCGGCGCAGGCGGAGGAGCTCGATGCCCTCGACATGGCACCCAGCACCAGTCATGCGGCTCTGGCAGCTCTGGGCAAGTCGGTTGGTGGTCAGGCGCCACAGGCGAGTGGATCCGCCAGCAAGCGCAAGCTGCCGATGCCACCGCATGTGCCGGTGAAGAAGCACCGCCAGGAGCACCGCAGCAAAAAGGGCAAGAGGTGGGTCTTTGTCTTACGGGTTTACCCAGTGTTGGGTTGTACCTAGCTACTTGTACCTGGGTACATACCTAGGTACAATTGTTTGATTCCCTTTGCATTAACTAGGTTCCAATATCTAGAGCTACTTTTTACCTTAGCTAGGTAAAGATTTGTATTTTTCTTAAGTATAAAATGTTTTGTAATTTATGCACTGAAATATATTTCTTTATTTTTATTTTCAAAATAAACTTAAGCAATTAAAATTTTTTTTAACAAACTTCGAGACGAACCTGTTGACCAATTTAAAAATATTTTTTATTTTGGCCCTTTTTGTACCGTTTACCTTACCTAAATAATTTTTACGTTACCTAAGTAATTATTTTCGCAAATACCAGTGCCAAAAAAACTAGTACCTTTCTCAACACTGTTTATATCTTCTGCCGTTTTGAGTTTACCTATATTTGGAAAGCCTTTTTTGAGTTTTCCTTTATTTAATGCCTGTTTTGGGTTTACCTATATATTACGAGTTGTTTACTTATAAAGCAAGTTTTGAGTTCACCTATATATAATACCTATTATAAGTTTACCTATATATAATGTTTGAAGTTTACCCATATGTAATGCCAGTTTTAAGTTTACCTATACATGTAATGCCTTTTTTTTTTGGCTTGCAGCTCCCAAAGCCTTTTGACCACCATAAGCGGACGCGAGGCCCATGAAAAATTCCGCTTTGAAATCAGTGGGCATGTGGCCGATTTCCTGCGGCCCTATCGCAAGGACAGCTGTCAATTGGGTCGAATAACCAGCGACGAGGACTACAAGTTCCTGATTAAGAGGGTGCGTACTGTGGCAATACTTTTCGTTTCTCGTTTCTAATTCTTAATTCCTAATTCCTAATCTGCAGCTAAGTCATCACATTACCACCAAGGAAGTACGATACTGCGATCTGACCGGCAATCCATTGTCGTGTACGGAATCTGTCAAGCACAAATCGTATGACTTTATCAACCAGTACATGCGCAAGAAGGGCCGTGTCTATCGCAAGCCAGCAGAGAGCACCATATTCTAGCATACCATCAATTCCGATACGAAGCCGTAGCGGAGGTAAATTCCATGGGGCACAGGAAGCAGCCGCCAAGGAGATGTCCCTTCTCGCCGCACCAGAACCCGAACCAAATCCCACATGGAACTAAAACTATACACTTACTTTATCTGTACACTTTAGGTTCTTAGCGTGTGACCTACCCCTCGAAGTGGGTAGCGTCTTCATTGAATATAACTAGAAGATTGTAGACTTTCGGCATAGAGATACAAAAAAAAAAAAAAAAAAAAATATGTGGGAAAAATATTGGAATTTGAGAAAAAACAGTATAAAAGCTGAAACCTATGCATTGCCTAATAATTGGTAAAATGTCATAAATGGCAAACACTTGTAGCTAATTATTATTATTTTTTTTTCTTTTATATTTTAAGACTAATTAAATTTATGATTTACATAAGTTTCAACATAGTTTATAAAATATCGCAATTAATAACATTTTGATATCGATCACATCGACTATTTCAAAAACGCAACGTAATAAATGGATAAAAAAAAAAGGATTTTTGTTGGCAAGGGGGATTGTTGGTTGGGTAAGTACACCACAAACCTAACGACTCATAAAAAGTCCATCATAATAAATAATACAATTGTAATCAAATAAATATTTACATATTATTGACAGATTAATAATACAATTTTGATGCATTTTACACTTATCGGTCATGGAAAGAAAAGAGATAGCAAATAAATTTAGTGAAAGTTTGCAACATTTAAAGGTCCTGTAACATTGAAATATTTAACAATATTAAATATATTTAAGAAATATACCTGAGGTTTAGTTGCAAGCAGTTTAAAACGGTATAACCGGGCTATGTTTGCAAATCTTAAATTTAATTTAAACAATGCAAATACAATAAATTAAAAAACTGTCTAACAAAATTTATCAAAATTTAATAAGATCTTTTCAATTTTAATTTAAAGTAATTTTATTTACATTTTTGCCCAAGCGTATAAGACAATGAAAATTAAATATAATAAACATTATTGACTTAAGACTACCGCTTATGGGTATTTTCAAATATTTTATATTGTAAAATAAATGATTATTTTAATATTGAAAATCATACTTATATGATATTGAGTTGTATAATAGAAAAGTTGACAAACGTTTTGGCAAACAATTTTTTTTGTATACTTTTTTATTTTTTGTGTTTAAACTTGATTTGATTAACGCCACTCCTGAGCTCCTGAAGGCAAACAAGCGGCGACTACGTCTCCCTTGACCATGATCCCATAGGGGGGGAAATCTGGCCAAAAGCAGCAGGGAAGCGGAGTGGTGGGGCATGTGAATCACAAGGATTCGGGAGGCAAATTAACCGCAGAAAGCGGTGGCAATATGGTGAACGGGCGAACACGTGACTTGGAGCATTAAGCAATTTGCCGAGCGGATTGTTGGCTCAGTTCAATGGGCGCCTAAGCAATTGAATTAGCCACCTTTCCCTCTGGTCAACAGGGGTCCCGATCTTTGAGGTTTCTCTGAGTAGTGATTGCAGTCGGTACACTGATAGAATTGAAACCCACAATCAAAATTTCTATATTTATTGACCTGAAGAACTGCCCAAAAATGTTCACTCCTTTTTTAAATGTACAGAAATGGATCAAATAATTTGACAGTATTTGGGATTTAAATAGCAAGCCTTACTTACATTTTTTTTATTTAATGATTTTGTTTTTAAAATTGTTTTGGGTTCTCTAAATAATATTTACTTAAAAAATTTGAAAGTTTAGAACTTATTTATTATAAAATTAGCCTTTTTAAAATAATATTAAATTCCTTACATTTAATTTATATTATAATAATTAAATTAAATGATTTTACTTGGTAACCTCTGTTTTAATTTGAAACTATAATTTCAATCAAAAGTAATAGTGTGAACAATAACCTTAGAATATATTTTCGATTAAAATAATACAATTTTAATCAATATCATATAGTTTCTTAAAGTCAATTGTCTAAAAATAATGTTCCCAGTATTCTTCGAGTGCAACGAGTCAAAATGTAAATGCTATTGCTCTAACCTCTTGACCCGTCAAAGCCTCTCATCCCCCAATAACCCTTTTGCCCCCCCCAATAAACACATGCGAGTGCGAACCAGTTTACAGTTTCGATTACAGCCCAACCGACTTAGGCCAACAGCTGCAGGAACACTTCACTGCCACTTTGGCAGAACTCGAGTGGAGATTAAGGCATGTGTTTCAGGGGGAATGGGGGACATACAACCCCTCAAAAGGGGTTTCTCCTCTGCCTAATATGTGGGCATTTGGGAGTCTTTGGGAGGCCTTAACAAATAGCTTTATATAATTAAATAGTTGACTGGAAATTCAATAGTATTATTGCAATGTATAAGTAGAACGGAGTTTTCAAAGAATAATTTTAGGAAAAGATTTCATAAATAGAGTTTTTCATAGATTTTAAATTAGAAAAATGTATTTATGTGCGATATAAAGATTTTTATTTTATTATGACATGTTTTTAAAATAATAAAATATTTGATATAAATTTTTTTATTCTTCAATTTTGTTTATTGAATACCTGTATAATAAATGCCCCAGTGTAATCTCCAAAGTGCTTTAATTTCCATCCAAATAAATCATAAAAGTGTTAATCATAATAAATAAATGCCTTCCTCGCAGTGACACTGATTACAGCAGAATGGTTGCCTGATTGAAATTCGCATTAATTAAATTACCTTACAAGCAATTGCCTGTGAAACTCTGAATGTTAACTATTTGAAAATTAATGCGGAATGGTTGGGCGACCCAAGTGGAGTTAAGCGGCAAATAAATGGTTAATGGTGGGGGTGCGATGCAACGTGACCTGTCAGTCGCTGACATATTGACTCATCAATTGCAGGCTAACAGCTTTGACAATAGATCGGAGCGGTAATGACAATTGCCAGCCCCAAGACGAACCCGCAAACCCACGAACTGACAGCAGGACTTCAAGTTTGCTTCCAAGGACACTCAGCTAAATTAGTTACCTATTACTTGGACAGAAGGACTTTCTTGTACTTATGTGCCTTAATTTTAATTTACTGATTTCGAATGTTTATACTTGGTAAAGTTTTCATGAAAGATTTTTATTTGTACACTTACTAAAATAAAAATAAGAGGATACAAATTATGGTGTTTAATGTTAAAAGAGCACAAATAGTTTTTAAAAATAAAAGTTCGTTTTAAAGTTTTTATTTAAATTTAAAAATGAATACTTTGTTCAATGGTTTTATTTACAACTTACAAGCTTATGCAAATAAAGATTTAAGGCGTATACTCACTTAAATAAATGTTAAAGGATGCAAATAACTCATACGCAATGGTGTTTTAGCAAACAAAAAACCTAACAGTTCTTGAAAATAATAGTTAATATTCAACTTTTTATTTAAATTAAGAAATTAATATTTTTATTTATATTGTTTAGAATGAACAAAAGTATACGTAATTAAATTAAAGTATTACGTATACGCCACATGCTACATAATTTGTTTGTTAAAAAGGAAAAATATATATTTTTAACCAAAAACTAATTTTTAACCCAATGAAAAATCAACAAAAATAAAAACAAAAAATTGTCAAAGCAAATAAGTATAAAATAGTCGTATACTTTTCCCTCAGGATGTCTAAAACTTGTCTTTATTTTTGTTCAATAAATTGATAATACTTACTATCTATTTTCCCAAGTGTATCAAAATGAGCGGCGAAGCATCTGGAGCTGGGGCGACCATAACAATGGCCACTGTAGTGGAAGAAGCGAAATTTTAATGTTAATGAACATCATTTTTCTCTGTTTACTTGCGCTTGTGTTAAGTGTCGCAAATAAATTCATTAAAGTGGCATTTTTCAATTTTAATGAACGCCGCGCCGAGAATTGGACTTCCAAGGAATGGATACAAATAACGCTGGGCATTATGGTGTTAAATTAAGAAATGAATTACGGCTTATTTATGAAAATCATCAGCATGCGATTATCGTTATCGCGTTGGGCTATCGGTGCGAAAAGTTTCACACTCATTTATGGCAATTTTGCCAATAAATAGCCGAGTGTTTGACACTTTCAGTTGAGATGTTATCAATGTTTTTGTCATTACAATGCGAATTTATCCGCTCGGCATGTGTGAGCGATTGTAAATATAATACGGATCATTGTCCAATCGATGAAGTTTTAATTGCTCTCCACAGTGCGCACAATTAATTTTTGTTTGCTCGTCGCCATTATTACTTCAATCAATTCCTTGTGAATTGAAGTTTGTTGTGGATTTAAAAGGTATTTACCGCGACAAAAACCAGCAGGGAAAATAATTATATACGAATGTTAAATGACCAATTGAATCACGCTGTGAATAATTGTATTTTTGCCAATTTTCGCAAAAATCTATATGCATGGCAAAAAAAAAACATCTTTGAAACATCCCACCTCGTTAAACTCGCCATAAATCGTACAATCGATTTGTATTCACAGCTTTCTAGCCTTTTAATATTTAATACATTTTCGCAAATTAATTTTGCTAAAGCGGAAATCTCTTTGTCGTTGATTATTAAACATATAAAATTTTATTTTACCCAGAATTAAGCATTTTTATTTCGCAATTCTTGTCTTTTAAATACTTAAATGCCATGATGTGATTTAAGTTTTTTCATTCTTTTTTTTGAGAAAGGCGAAAATGGGGAGGGAACAGAAATGACTGCGGCTGAAGGAAGCGCAGACATTTAATATGGCACGCGTATGTGCCTGTGTGTATGTGTGTGTGTGCGTATGACAAACATTAACATATCACTTTACAGTAGAGATAAGGTGGCACACACAGGCGCATCTCGAGCAGATCCTGTTCCTTCGGTGTCTTCTCATTTCTTGGCTCCTCCGCCATCTGATGGGCTTACCCAATTATGAAACATTAAAAATACGCGCATATAAATCGCTTCATTTTTATGCGCAATTACGCGGGGGAAACAGTAACCTTGGCTGCCTCCCCATCTGCCACTCTGCAAATCTGCCACTCGCACCCTTCCATTGCCATCCCCATAATTCTCGGTAGTTCACTTGCTACGAGACTGCTCCTGTTTCAGATTCTGCTCCTGTCAGTTGCTTCAGCTTAAGCCACTGATTATGGCTGAATGACACTATTAAAAAACAAAAAAAATTACACTGAATGACACTGTTAAAAAAGCAAAAAAAAAAAAAGATAGAGCAAAAACTTGGGCATTTTTTTTACATTATTTGTTGTCTTATTAGGCTAAAAAAAGTGGCACTCAGTGGCACCATTAAAAAACAAAAAAAAACATATCAGCTGGTCTATAAAGCATATTTGTGAAATCAGAGTTCGAAAGTGCATAAAAGATTATGGTTTAATGTGGCTGAGAAACACCAGTAAAAAACTAAACTAAATGCTGAATGCGGTATATTGTGACATCAAAGTTAGAAAAAGTTTATTTTCCTATCGACCACATTTTTAATAAATCTCGAAAATTATATTTTGGCTAATTAAACATTTTTTGG